CTGCTCCCCATTCTATTTCCTGTTGAGTCCTCTCAGCCTCTTCCACCCTGCACCTCTGGCCTATACCCCATTTCTTATATGCATAAATAAAGAAACCTTTAAAAAGAAAAAAAAATAATAACATTGAGTCAACTGAAGTCATCTAAATATGGGCTGGAATGAGAAGACATGAGGAAATTGCTATTCTTATTGGTGTCAAAATAATATGATGGCTATCCAGGAGTACATTTTTATGCTGAAATATTTAGGGGAGAATTGTCTTAATGTCTGTAATTTTCTTTGAGAGGGTTCAGCAAATAAAAAAAACATGCATATCAGTGAGGTAAGTGATAGCAAAGTGAATGAATCTGCAGTAGAATCATTTCTGTAGGAAATGATGATGGCTCCTCACAGGAGGAGCCCAGAGTCCCCGCTCGGAACATAATTAGATCTGAGCATCACACGACTCAGCATGTGTGTGCTCTTGCAGTACAATTAGGTCTCCAACAAAGTATGTTCCTAAAAAAGCCCAAAGTGAATAACAGCCAGTATCCTCTCCCGGTGCCTCTCCTCTCTGGGCGCAGACAAGCTGCATCCCTATCTCCACTCACCTCAGGACCAAATTACTGACCTTGCTGAGGGCACTAGTGTGTCCTGGGGACAAAAATGACTTTCACCAGCTCCCCATTATTTAGACAGAGAGCTACTGACGACCTTCAAAGAGAGCTGAGTCAGCTGCAAGCAGAACCTCACACCTGATTATCTACTCAAGAGGTCACTTCTCTCTCCCCCAACCTGGAGGAACAGCATGAGGTCAGCTTGGGGCCAGGAGGTCTGCAGCCCTCATACAGCCACTGCACAGAGAGCAGCGCTTCCCCAGCTCCCGACTTCGTACTGTAGAAAGGAGGGAACCCCCAAGATTTAGGCCAATGAGTGGTCTCTATGACAGTGTTATCAGGGAAAAGAAATGCAAGTGTCCAAGACAGGACAGAAAGAGCCGTTATGAAATGACCACTTAGGAAGTGAAACAGGCATTGCACGAGAGGGCTAAGGAAGCAGTGATTCTCCACAGGGGGTGGCCAGAATGCAGCTCCTTGCCCTCGCTCAAAGAGTCTTGCTTCCCTTAAGCAAAATAATGGCGACCGAAGGGGTGAGGGGGTGACAGTCGTGGTGGTGACACAGACTGTGTGCGGTATTCTCTCCGGTGGCACAGAAGAGCCAAGGCTGTTGTCAGGACCCGAAGTTCAACCTGAGAGCCAAAGATGGGAGAAAAACCCACAGATGAGTCTTGAGCAAAGTCCAAGGGAGCGCCACAGTCGGGGGACACCCACCTGCCCAGGCAGGTACACAGCCCAGACACCACTCAGCCGCCACATGGTGGCGGCAAGACGCCGTGGGATCTGTGCCAACAACCAGTCTCAGGTTCAACAAACCAACCAAGGCAAAAACCTGCACAAGGGGGCCCAGCTGAGAGAGGCAGAGACAGAGACAGAGAGGTCAAGCAGGAAAAATGAGATCCAGGGCCTTCCCTGGTGGCTCGGCGGGTTGAAGTGTGTGGCTACCTCAGCAGGACCTCCAGTGCACCTGTCCGCCCGGCTGATGTTGTGCCTCATTGTTCCTTACTCCCCAGTAAGGCCAACAAACAAGTTGGCAGAGCACAATGCACTCTGTCCTGCAAACAGCTGCAGCCCACTACCTTGTTTTTAGCAGAAACTGCAAGAAGTCCCAGGCCCTGTACAAACATGCACCCCCCACCCCCACCCCTGTGGGGTTCATTTCCGGTTTTTCCCACACCTACAAGGCATATCAGACCCTATCTATACCCAGGGGTGATCCTAATAAACAGACTCCGGGCTCTAGACTCCTGTTTTACCTTCTTGCAGCTCTGAGTCTCCTAGTTGGTGCAAATGTAGCAGTCAGCGCGCCCCTGGGTGGGATAGAAACCACAGAAGTGCTGCACACTGAAGCTGTCCGCAGCCACTGTAGAATGAGCTCCATCCCCAGCCAGAGCAGGGACCCCCATGGCGCTCCCAACCTGTCCTGCCCCCTGCTGCTCCCCTCAGCAATGTGTTTAGGTCAATCTGCCTGTTCTGCTCCCCACTCTGTCTCTGGTGAATCCTCTCGCCACTCCTGCACCTCTGG